TGTGTGTGTGTGTGTGTGTGTGTGTGTGTGTGTGTGTGTGTGTGTGTGTGTGTGTGTAGCGCTCATGCTCGCCATAGACCGGGATCAGGCGGACCATGTACGTGGACATGATGGCCAACGTGTCCAACCAATCTGACCCTGATCCGCTGCGATGGCGTCGTCAGACCCTAAAAGTTTATGCAAACCCCGTCGTCATCCTCCTTATCCCCCGCATTGGATGAAACTACCGGACGTCGCCTACGGCGACGATTATGGTCATCGTTGTCGTCATCTTCCGGGTCGTCGTCTGATTCCATCATGTCCTGTAGATCGACTTTGAAGTCAATGAGCAGATTGTGCAAGATGCAGACGGCCATGAACTCACAGCAAATGGTCTTCAAATTGCCGATTTGCCGCCGCCCAAAATTCCTCCAGATGCCAGGTACGCTCAATGACATTCCTCGCCAGTGAGTGGACATCATCGAATGTCACCTAAGCAGGGGTGCGATCCCTACGCGTGCTATGGGGAGTCATCAGCCAGTCGAGCAAAGGAAAGCCCACATCTCCCAACAAGTAGGGTGCAATAGATGTTCCATCCCGCAACAACATAGGTTCCCCGGAAAACACACCTTCGCCGCTCTCTCCTTGAACACAAAGACGGGACATTCTCAACACGCGAGAGTCGTGAAGAGATCCCGGGCTCCCGACATAGACGTCAGATATCTGGCACTCATGGTCGCAAACGACTTGTATTACAATGAAGAATTGTCTAGTCTGATCGTAGTAGCACTCCGGACGTTCATTCCTGGGCTTTTCGATGTACAAATGTGTACAGTCGATAGCGCCCACGCACCCAGGAAAGCCTTTGCGTTCGAAGTGATCGAGGCAGTCCTCTAAACGTCGTCCCTGTGGAAAGGAGATGACATGAGCGTATTCCCTTACGATAGCTTCAACCACGTCCTTGTTGCTTCGCAGTGCACTCATAAGACTTATGCCCAGCCCGTAACCTGACTGCCTGTAGTAACTGCCAGTCGCCCACCTGATGAGGGCACATGCAAATTTCTGCTCCGCCGGTAGAGGTTGTCTCCAATTCGTGGTCTGGCGTTGTATGTGAGGACCAATGCGCTAAGCACTTCATGGAAGAGTGGACGTCGCAGCCTGCAGAATCTCACAAAGACCTTGTCATGACGATGGCCCACACACTGCAGGTCCTTCCAAACCCCCCCGGTCCGCTCCAACACCCAAATCCTCCTTTCGTCATCCATCACCCTCTCCATATTCCTCATCGCCAGCCACTCAACAGCCATGGTATGGCACACACATCCTGCAAGGAGTACGAAGCACTGCTGCGAGTCGGCATTGAATACAGGCGTGGAGGCTGCAGCCTGCAGCACAGCCATGACTACTGCATTCCGCCTGTTCATCCACTGGATAATCGCCATGAAGGTCATGAACAGCAAGTCGTCAACAACTTCGTCTCCTCCATTGCGCTGCCGATGATGTGCTCCTCCGCTGTCCATGTGTGCGCGGATACCGAATCCTGGAACAGGAGGAACAACACCTCACGCTTCGAAAAAGGCTGCCTTTTGTCACCAACGTCACCCACACCGAAGTCAGCGAGCACGATGCAACCGGTCGTGTGCTTCATCCCCCGAATGCTCGCAGGGGCGCGGAGGGCGTCCGCGCGTGCAGTGAGGTAGACGTTGCGCTTGGAAGCTTCAAAAGGAACGGGTATGGCGTTCGCCGCTGTAGCGGACCTCGGGTTGGCCTGTGAGACCAGCCCCTTGGCCTGTTCTCACATGCCTGTGTTATATTCGGGGTAGGCCAGTCCAGGCCGGTACCTCTGTCGGTACCAGCCAGTCCAGTCCAGTCCCGTCAGTCCGCTGGGGTATACCCCAGCCATTGTCTATTTTCACTCTCATTCTTCACTTGCACATTTTGGAGTATGTGCGTTGGAGTCTTGCGTGGGGAGCTGCGTTGTGCCATCTCGCTCCCCCCTTCTTCCTCCATCT